TATTTTTTTGCTAAATTGTTTATTTTTTATCAAATGTTATATAAGTAGCAGTATATTGAATAAGTTTTTTCAACTAGTGTTAATTAAATATTTATGAAATATTTTAGAAAAAAAAATTATAAACATGATTTCCATTTAAAAAATCTTACAAAATTAATAATTATTTTAGAAGAAAAATAGAATCAAATTGAATTAAAAAATTTAGAAAATTTGATAGAAAGTATATTAAAAATAATTTATATTATAATAAATATTAATAAAAATTTAATAAAATATTAATAAAATAATAAAAAATTCAGACCTTTGTGAATACATTAATATAAATTTTATTAAAAGTTATTTAATAAATTCTTTAATAATAATAAAAATAAAATGCATTTTAAATTTTAAAAATAATTGTGATTAAATACTTTTGGTAAGTAAGTATATTATTGATCAAAAAAATGGAAATTTATTTTTTTTTTATTGTACTATGATGGTCACATTAAATCATATAAAACTTTGAATATTTAAAGTTTATAACTAATATTTTTAGTTAAAAAAAATTAATAAGTTATATAGTTTTATTACTTTTTATAATTAGCTTACAATATTTTTTTGTTCATTGAACTAATTTAATTAGAACAGAATTTTTATTCCTTATCTATATACTATTTTAAATTATCTAGATTTTTTGATAGGTTTTTTCATGTTGTTCTTGATTATACTTCAATTGAATTCAAGTTAGGATTATTAGATGGTCAGTTTACAATATCTGATATATTTTTCATAATAAAGATCTTTATCAAGTAATTTATGTATTTCAAGTTATTATCTTGTTTAGAAATCGTACTCATTACTAAGTATTCTGAAATATATTCATTTAGAATTTGTATGTAAAAACTTGCATTCATGATCTGTTGAAAGAGAAATATATTTGTTTTCTTTTTAATACAAATTCTTTTTAGATAAAAATTTTTATCCAACTTTTAGGCATATAACAAATTGGTCATGCACCTTTATGTTAACATTTTCACAGTATTTTGATAGAGTTCAAATGCTGTTTTGTTGAAAAAAAAAATTTGTTCCCATATGTTATTAAGATGATTTGTGTCAATTTTGGGTTTGTTTTTTTGATGAATATAGGAGTAACTCGTGAAAGACTTTTTGTATATTCAGTCTTCTTCAAATATCTTCCAATAATATGACGTGATACCTGTATACCTTTTTCTAGTAGTTTGGCTGCAAGATTTTTTGTTGATAAAAAAGTGTTCCTACAAATAACACTTTCAAAGAAGCCCGTCAATCAATCTTGACTGATTATTTCCACCTGCAGTGAATGCTCAATAGATCCATTTATTTATTTATTTATTTTTTTAAGTTGTAATATATAGTTGAGAGTGAAGACTTCTTAAATGAAAAACAATTGTCATAGAATCTTACGTTGATGATTTTTTTTCTCGACCTACATTCCAGGGACCTCTCGAACACGCATCCCATGATTTCCCTATTGTACAAAAAAAAAAAATTTTAATTGGATTACAACTACGCGACTTATAAAGGTTTTTGTGAAACAAAAAATTGATCAGCACTGTATATGAACACACAAAAGAATCCCTATACCGTATATAGAAAATACCAAAGGAAATGCAAATACACGCCCACGTACCAATCACCTCTAAGAGAAGATTTTTTAGAAAAGTTATTTGTATTTATAAAAAAGCGTAACAAGTCGCCTCGCAATCGCCGGTTACACGAGTGGTGACGATTCACGGGATTCACGGGTGCATTTTTACAAAAGAGTCTAGTAATTAAGTTTGATGTCAACGATCGAGAGATCGGTATGATAAGTAATTACGTAATACGCAACTAGCGTGGTTATTTCGAGCATGACTAAGCATTGACCATATAACAGATTGGTGTTTCTTTAAAATGAGAAGGGGAGTCGACAAGATCGTCCTTTAAAAACAAGCTTAACTGTTGTGGTGGGATGTGTCAACAGGGTAGTGGATGAAATTTTCGGTTTTTAATCCGCCATCCTTGCATTAGGACGATTAATTATCACTTTAAGATTAAAGGATGATGAAACTGATTTTAATTAGAAAAAAATGCGCAAGAATTAATTTTATATTTTATATGAAAATGAAATTATTCGACGCCGTTCCTGAGGGGTCTGATTTCTTTGAATGCATTTGATTTTTGTGAGGAACAAGGCAACGACGATTTCCGAGGTCACTCACCACCTTGGCGCAGGAGTTTCGATCTTGTGTATATGAAAAAGGAAATTGAGTAAGCACGACGTACGTACGCAAGAGAATATTTAGCAGTTGATAGCCAATATGCTATGTGTATGTACGGTTTCGTATTGGTCAATGGATAAAACGGTTACATTACGTTAACCGCTTTGGCGTTGTGGTGGACAAAGCATTTACTTGCGCACGATATATCGCAAATTCGTAAAATAAAAACAAATATACTGTAAATGCGTAACAATAGTAATCACAAAATTTACATAAAAGCTACAGAGTTTTTGCTATGTGCACCCTTCGTTACTGTTACCAAGTAATACCCTTAAAACCGTCCGGTCAATTATTATTAGGAATACGGAGCAAACTCAATCCCAGCACTCTTTTTTTTTTTTTGTCCCTTGCGTTGTGTGTGTTAGACAGCGTTCATCTTCTAATAAGGTGGATTCCTACGATTAGCTTCAATTGAGTTACCGCATTAACGTTTTACGTATCGTCATTACTGTATTATTATTTCTTCTTCATTCTTCACCCTGTCGACTTTTCTTTGTAAGAAATTCGATTTTAAACCAAAAATCATTCGAGACTGCATCTAATTCTTCTTGTATCATATTCCCTCTAGTTTTTTTTTTTTTTTTTTTTTTTTTTTTTTTTTTTTGATATTCATTTGTTCATTTAAGAAACGGTCATTTCATTTGTAAAATTCTCATTTAATCCGCAACACAACATCTATAATTACATCGCACAGGTACTTTCATCGCAACCTTTATGCATAACAGGCTAGCTCGTTAATCACTGTGTCATCAAATATAACCCTGCATTCTCCTTTCGTCATTCTTCTTTCTCTGCTTCGTTAGTTTTTCTTTTTGCGGTCCCCTTCCTCTATCCTCTCTTCTCAATTTTTTTGTCTTAAAAAAAAAAAAATCAATTAATTATTAATGACATGAACTTCATTTTCAATCCACCTCTAGATAAAAAAAAAATTCATGTTAAATAACACAAAAGTCAAAAAATAATGAAGAATCTGTACGCCAACAATAGTTATCTTGGTATGTCTTGTATTCACTCATCGCGTTGATTCACGATCAAAGGTATTGTCGGTCAATTCATCCAACTCGTTCATTCTCACATTTCAGCAAGAGCATGTTACGTCCCATTCATTCTAATATGGCATGTAATTTTTTATCTATTCGTTTATTTCATTCCATTAAACTTTTGCAATCGGAGAATTGACCCCCCCCCCCCTCCCTCCCATTACCAACCTCCCTTTCTCCCAGGATGATAATACGAGCCTACCGATCAAATCGCACATCGTTCTCTCCGCTTCAACTGATTCGTCTGGATCCGCGACCTCTGTTCACCTACTCCCTCATATTGGCATTTCTCGCACAATTCGCTCATGATTTCCTATTGTGCTACATAAACTACAGAGGCTATGTCATTAACTCGTCGGAAAACTCGAACATTAATGCGTCAGCAGTCGACGTGACCACGGTGACATGGTATATGAATGCAGCTAACATGGGATTAGTAATGTAAGTTGAACAACTTCTGACAAATCTCGTTGCATCAAATGAAAAAAAAAAGAAAGAAAAAGAAAGAAAAAGGGACGCATCTATCTATAATGTATACGGCATATATTTCGGTTTTCTCTTTTCTATCTTATTCTCTCTTTCTCTTTCTTTCCTTCCTTCTTTCTTTTTCTTTTCCCCCTTTCACTTCATCAATTCGAAAAAGTCGGAATCAATAGTCGCACAATGGTATTTGTTTAGATGTGCCGAAACCCATCATTCACTCATCTGGTCTAATCTATTAGTGGATAGCTTCCTCCTTCATTCCATTCACCCATTAACCAAAATATTCATTCACTTTAACCTTCCAAACTTCGAATTCGATTATCTAATTTGGATTGTTTACAAAATCATATTTGTGCGACATTTAATGGTGGCGGCAGATCCCGAGTTCATTGCATTAGTTCTTTGGTGTAACGTGTACGATCATTGATGTCGTCCTATTGCATGATCATGGATCAGTCACATACCGCGCGCCACAGAGAACCCGAATTGATCAAATTAAAAACATTTCTTTTTTTCATCACAGAACTTGCTTATTGGCCTTGCAAGTCTATTGGAGTATAGTGATGGGGCAACTGTCTCGACGGC